TCCGCAAAGAATAAGTGAGAAACCTCCGTGAAATTATCCCTTTTTCCAACCCGAACCCCCTTCAGCAGTTTAAGCTCTTTAGCCCTCTCGAGAATCCCATTTAAACCTTCCATTACCATGATGAACAAGGAGGGGGATAGGGGATCCCCTTATCTAAGCCCTCTTGCAGCACTAAAGAAACTTGAAGGGCCCCCATTAACCAGAACAGCAAATGAAGCGGTAGTGATACAAGATTTCATCCATAACTTCCATTTCACACCAAAACCCAGCCTAGACATCATGTAATCAACAAAATTCCAATTGACATGGTCATAAGTTTTTTCCATGTCAAGTTTACAAACTAAACCATCCCTATTCGCAGCCATGAGGTCATCAACCGTTTCATTGGCAGTCATCACCGCGTCTAGGATTTGTCTACCATCCACAAACCTTGGATAGTCTCCTAGCCAACACTTTGACAATTAGTTTATACATTGCCCCACCAAACGAATTGGCCTGAAATATTTGAATTCATTTTCTTCATTTCTTTTGGGAATGAGAGAGATAAAGGTGGAGTTTAAGGATTTCACAAATTTACTGGAAGAATGCATCTCATCAAAAATCTCCATAATATCCTCTTTTAACAGCAACCAAAATGATTTTAAGAAGTTCATATTAAACCCGTTCAGACCCGGGGCCTTATTTCCATCACAAGCTTTCAAACTTTGAAACACCTCCTCTTCTGAAAATTTGGCTTCCAGCAGTCGGCGACTCTCATTCGAAATTCTGTTAAAAAACAAGCCATCCAGACCTGGTCTAGCAACACATTCTTCTACAAAAAGCTGTCTGAAATGCTTCCTGGCAACCTCTCTCAGCTCGACATTACCAGAAAACAGGAGGAGATGAAAGAATCTATCAATTCTTGAACTGCTCTTTTGGTTTGACTAGGTCCATTGACCCTTATTCAGAGAAAGATCAACCATTTCATACCTCTCCATCACCTAATTAAACTCATTAGCTTCTGCACCAGAAAAATTAGTTCCACTCCTCTCTTCTCTTCTCAGTGTCATATTAAAATCTCCCCCGATAATCCACTTCCCAGCCCAGCTGATTCTGCAAGCCTCAAAATCATTCCACAACAGACTCCTTTCCTCTTTATTCCCCCAACAATATACACCCGTGAACAACCATTCA